GCACATGCCTGGCTTGTGGGCTCAATCTCCAGTGGGGGACATGCAGTAGGCGGCTGATCCATGATTCTCTCTCATCACTGATGTTTCTATCTCTCTGTTCCTCTCCCTTTCTCTCTGAAATCAATAAAAATATACTTTTTTTAAAAAAAGAAGGCATTTCCATTTTCTGGTTCAGTTCTAGGATAAGCAGGATCAGAAGACCCCTCAGATTTACACATAAAATGACCAGTTTGAAGAATAATGTATAAGAAGCCCTAACAAATCAGTGAAGGCAAGGGAAAGGGAAGGAAGAATTGCTCATTCTGGTCATAGTCTATAAAGGCCCATCAGGCAAAAAAGTCTTCTTGTAAAGATAATAGGATAGGTAATATCAAAATTTTAGTTTCTAATCAAGATACTGAACTTGAGTACTTTTACATTTTTTAGTGAATTGGGAAACAATGCCTGTATTTGGAAGCTGAAATTCTATGGTGTTTTACAAATTAATGAAAAACTGCAAAAAATAGAAATTTTGGTAAACTATTAAATAACTGGACCATGCAAACTTTCCTCACAATTTTCCATTCCTGAATCATTGTCTAAGAAAAGGTGATAAGTTGGTTCTTAAGATGATGGAGAATAAATGAAGAACCTCAGAGTAATTTTAGAATCAACATTTTATTTGGTACTTATTATAAAGTGAAAACCTTTAAGAATATAAAGAAACAGAACTACATATCATGATTTTAAAATGTTCTGGTTTCTCAATATTCCAACACATATAACTTTACAAATCTCAACATTTTAAAAAGTAAGCTGTAGGCTCTCTCTTTACATCAAAGTGATCACAGCAAAGACACAATGAAAAGTTTAATCAACAGAAGTAACTACCTTTGACATCAATGCCATAATTTCAAATCCATTGTGGGTCAGTGACAAAAGCTAAAAGATTTTAAAGATATTCTAGTACAGTTTAAACACTCAAGATGCCATTAGCACATTAACAAAACAAAAATTATAGACAAGTTAGGGTAATAAGAAATTACTATAGCACTAATCTCATCAGTTACAGACCATTTACAACCACAGGGATCACTGGTCTGCATCAAGGAGCTTCAAACATAACACTGTTCTGGTGGGAAAAAAAATTACAAAGGAGAAAGCAATGCTTCTAAATAATCCTGGAAAGACAACTAAATGGCCATCCCCAGACAAATATCATACTAATCCATTATATAAAACACTGTTGACAAAAAGAAAATGAGAGTTCTCAGTTCTTTGCTTGGTATAAGGGGATGTATCACCTGACTTGAGTGTCCAAAAGGAAAAAGATAAATTGAGGAACTGAAAAATACGCCTTTCGAACAAGCCACATGGCATAATACAACGTTTTCCAAAGTGTGGTCTACCTGTACATGATATTTTTTCTGAGGACATGAACAAAATGTATGTATATGCAATCTTTTATTTATGGCTGGTGATACTGGTTTTTTTCTTCTGATGGCAATTTCATTTTTGGTTTTCAATATATGTATCTAACATAAAAAGTGATTTTATTTAAGAAGCAAGCAGATCCCCTTCATCAACTCTATAGCACAGGTGACTGACTTCCACAACTTTGGTACAAGTGTGGTTTATTTTTTATTTAATCTCCGAGGAAGACTAAGCAGAGGTGATGTTGATACCATAGGAAAAGAAGGATTAAGTGAATTAGTACAAGAAACATGCAATTGTTTTCCCCTACTCAGCTCCTATGAGCCAAGCATTCATCCACTATGCAAGAAGTGAGAGAAGTCTTTTTTAAAAATATGACCAGTATAAGAGGGTCCCTAGTTAAAAGGCCCAGAATATAACACTAATATACTGAAGTCAACCATACCTAATCATGCATTCAAACCAGCCTTTTACTCTCAAAATTTTAAATATGAATAAGCATCCAAAGATTATCAGACATCTGAGAAAAGCTTCTAAAATGAATGACAGAGACAAAAAAAGCAGCTTGAATCTGACTATATAACAGAGAAAAAACATCAACTTAAAAAGAAATAAAATATGATGTTATGAAAAGGTACAGGAAATTTTTAAAAAGCTCTTGAAAATTACAACTATGTTAGAAGAAGTGATGAGTTAATCATAAATGAAAACAGTGAAGAAAACCTGCCAGAACTGAAGAACATGAATGTTCCGATTGACTAGGACCGCCAAGGTTCCGGCACAATGTATAAACATACCCACATCAAGACACAACATCATAAATATCAAGAAACTGGGATTTAAGGCATTCCATACACTTTCAGAGAGAAAAATAAATCACAAATGATCAGGAATTAGAATAGTGTTTCACTTTTCCATGGAAATCCTTTCAAAATTCTGAAAAAAAAATTATTTCCAAACCAAAACTCTGTACCCATTGAACTACAAAACAACTGATAAATAAATTCTCTCTCAGATACATAAGAGCTCAAGACATTTACCATTTCTTAGGAAGTTACTGGATGTTGTGCTCAAGCAAATCAAGAAAGAATTTAAGACACTGAGCCAGGGAACAGGAAAGCCAACCTAAGAAAATACCAGGATGATGGCAAAGAAGATCCCAGCTGAGCAACAGGCACTGAATCCAGACTGGAGCAAGTCAAAATGCTCTGAGAGACTTCTTTAAGAAAACACCTGATCATTAAATCCAGCAAGTAGGAAAGGAAGATAAACACAGCTCACTATATGGCTAGATTTATATAGCATTCATATATATAATGGAAATATAAGTATTGAGTAATGGTCTACCAAAATTAAAATATACTATTAGGTTGAAACATATGAAACTGTTGTTTTGTAGATTAAAAATGCATATAGTTAACCTAGTATACTGGGAGCTTAAGGAATGGAAAGTGTGTGTGTGTGTGTGTGTGTGTGTGTGTGTGTGTGTGTGTTAGGGACCAGAAAGAGGGATATGATAAGATAATGCTTTAAACTAAAATACACACAAAAAAGTAAAATAGCCCAGCCGGCGTGGCTCAGTGGTTGAGTGTCGACCTATGAACCAGAAGGTCATGGTTCCATTCCCTATCAGGGCACATGCCGGGTTGCAGGCTTGCTCCCCAGTGGGGACATGCAAAAGGCAGCCAGCCGATCAATGATTTTCCTCTCATCATTGATGTTTCTATTTCTCTCTCCCTCTCCCTTCCTCTCTGAAATCAATAAAAATATATATTTAAAAAAACAGTAAAATAAGTACTATTTTAGAAAACATGGAAGTAAATATCAAAATAATAGGTAGGAAGAGGCAAAAGTAGTTGCCTCTGCGGAGAGGGACAAGGGATTAGAAGGAGATTGAGGACTGTTTATTTGTGTGTTTTTTTAAATAACTTGTTGAACTATTTGACTTTTTAAACTACTATATAAGACCTGTAGTAATTATCTGATGATATCTAAACTCAATAAAAAGATTTTTTAAGAAGAAGAGAGGAAGGGAGGAAGGAAAGAGAGGCAAGGAGAGAGGGGCAGGTATGTGTCTTACAGACATTTCAATGTCTCAAGAGGGCACTTTCTGGGGATAGGAATGTGATGTCCACCACATTACTGTAAGAAATAGACACTTCCACGGCCATTCTTCTTCCACAAATGAGACAAAAATCCAACCAGAGTGAGTGTAATTGTTCAACATTTGCTTAATATTCATAGGTTATCTTTTTAAAATTCTATATAATACTGTCCTAATTGTTCTCCACTTGCTCTTTGGGCAACATGTCATAAGCACCCTTTCCTGAAAAATGTTCAGCATCCAGAAATTAGTGATGACAGCAATAATACCCGAGGTTTTTAAAACACCATTTTGGGTAGACTCATTTTTTAATGGTGAAAAATAAAGACAAGAAAGTTAAGAAACACAATTAATAGATTGAATCATATGAAACTGTTGGTTTTATAGATCACAATTACATATAGTTCAACTAATAATGTAAGTGTAAGAGTGTGTGTGTGTGTGTGTGTGTGTGTGTGTGTGTGTATGATAGAGACCAGAAAGAGGGTGTGCTAAAAACAAAACTTCAGATGTCTATTAATCCTGACTCAAAGAACCTTCTTGATTCTAGCACTCTCCCTGCCACACCAACTTCTATCTTGAGAGAACATAACCTTGAATCCCTCTATCTATCATTTAAGACAAGATATCCCTCTCCCTAACTACTTGTTAATAATTGTAAGAGCAACATTTGCTAAAGATTCTCCTTGATACGAAGAAATTATGAGAAAATCTCAAATTTCAACATACTCTGTGACATAATTTTTCTCACTTATTTTCTTGCCACTCTTTAGAAGAAATGACAGGCCAATGTGTTCACAACCCACATGCAGAACTATTTATTAGCTGGCATGAATAGCATTATTTTGTCAGTATCTTTTCAAAACAAGCCAAGTGTCGAGTATGAATAAGCCCTGTAGTAAACATGTGATGAGGAATTCATTCTCAATTTTTTAAATGGAATGAATCAGACCTCCAGACCTTTAAGATAATTTAATTTTCACTAAAAAGTATTTATCAGTCACCCAGGCACTTTCTAAAATATCACAAAGGCAAAATCTCTGCCTACAAGGTACATCCATCTTCTCCTTTATTAAGTACTGCTGTGAGGCAATTACAGAAAAACATGATTGCTGACATTTCAATATGAAAAAAATAGGAAGTTGTGATAAAGAACAGCAAGGGGAGAAGAGGAGACTAAAATCTCCTTAGGGTGGTCAAGTCAGAAACAAATGTTCTCTTTAAGATTTAAGAGGCTCTTTCAGAATAGGAATTATAGTTTGAGTATTTACTGTGGTATCCCTACAGTCTAGCAAAAAAGAATCTAGAATATCCAGGAAGTGCTCAAGAAACATGTGCTGAATTAACCCATGAACTGAACTAGGCCTATCTTAGCACCCACTGTGCCAGAAAGGACAACCCAAATCATTTTTGAACACAGTCATGTTGAAGGGTCTGCACAATGAAAGGCACAGCATCTGCTCTGACAACAGCAGCTCCTTACCTGTTGCTGTACTGGTACTTGCTGTACCACCTGTGTAGGCACTGCTGCTTGACTAGCCACAGATGTCTGTAAAGTCACTGTCGAACCTGTGTCCGACCCAGTCTCTGATGTCTGCATGATGGTCTCTGAAATATATTAAAATAGAAATAAAGTTTAAAACGCTCTCTTTGCATGACTAGAAGCATTACATTTGCTAGCAGCATTACTGAGACTAACTTTCAACTCTCTGAAAACTTCTTACCCTAACATACTATCATGATAGTCCATGCATACTTATAGTTATTTTGACCACTTTTTAAATACAGAAAATTACTAATCCTAGTACCTTCCTTAGTTAGGGCTCATCTGTTATAAAGTGTTTCAACTATTTATAAACTATAGCCCAAAATTATGTCAAGATACTCAATATTCAATTCTCAATTCTCAGAACATAAACCTTAACTGTATGCAAATATGTTACAAACCATACTTTCTAAACCCTTTGATAGATTATTAGGATGTCACCAGAGGTGTACAATTTAGGAAAAACTACTTATAAGGTCCTTCCCAACTTTTAAACTTGCTATTCACTGATCTAAAAAAAATTAGTATATATCCAAAAACCAACTGATATACCCTAAACTTAGCCGAAGCACCAACCTAACTAATTTTCTCATCCTGTGATATGATATGGTACTAAAACCAAAGTTTAATTATATACAAACATCAATTTGAAAGACAGGTAAGACAACTATTACATAAATGAGATTTGTAAACAAAGACCTGAAATATTATCTTTGTCATTCACGATTCAAAACAGCACATTTTTCAGTTCTCACATGTCTGACCTACTAACACAGGATTAAATTTTACAGCATGTATGCTAACAAGTGTGGTTTCTCAGACTTCCTGGCCTTGGCATTCCCTTGTGCTACTTATATAGACAAAAGATTAAATATTCATTTCTTTGCTATTGAGCAGGAACAAAAATTCTAATTTTCTTTCCGGGGAGTGGGGGGAAGGGGGAGACAAACAATATTTAATTGGTAGCCTAAGAAAAATACTGCATTATGGTTTAAATCTGTGAACAATATGGTGAACATTAATTTTCCCTAAGAAAATTCTGAAAGCATATTCAGTTCTTTCAAGTAGAAAATTAACCCCTCTCAGCATCTTTTGTTACAGCATGACCTCTTCCAAATTTCCCCCCAAACCTTTTCTATCATCTCATTCAGTTTTACAAATGGACCTCTGAAGACATCTAATCTACTCTTCTTATTTTATAAATGAGGAAACCAAAACCCAAAGAGGTTAACAGATTCATTCAGGTGACAGGAATAGATGTGGGATTAGGCCTCTTTACTTTGAATCTGTGCTTGCTTTTCTTTCTAGACCTTGACATTGGCATCACTTCAGGTAATTATTCTTATTCTTTTGTTAGTCAAAACCCTAAAGCAGCACAATAAACCTTAGCACATACAAAAGATATAGCAGCAACAGCTAACACTCACTGCATGTTTAACATATGCTAAGGAATCTTCTAAATGCTTTACATGTTAATTCTTAAATAAATTAACCCATGTAACAACCCAATATTGCTGGTATGACTATAATCTCCATTTACAGATGAGGAACCTCAGCACAGAGTGAAGGTGCCTAGGAACTTCAACAGAAGGAATGATAGAGACTATGGCTACCACCCCATTTATTTGCAACATCTAATGTTCAGCTCCAAAAAAAGAAGCTAAAAATTCAAAATCCAGCATCCTTGGATTCGTTCCATACTTATAGGCTATCTATGCCATTTGTGCTACAGCAGAGGAGCTATTAGTGAGAGTAAAGTGATGTCTTTCTGTAGGGAATGAGGAATGAACCAGATGTTAGATATTATCTTTAGTCCCACCTCCCAAATGCAAGACAGGCTGTGGCCTTTGTCAGAGCAGTATACAAAAGAGGAAGACAGGGGTGTCAATTATGGCTTCTTCCTTAAACTGCTCAATCAAGGATGGATGAGTTTCTTACAGTAAAGTACTCTCATTAAAATTCCCTCCTATTTCTACCAATGCTGGCTGGGAGCTTAATCTAGGTTCTCTCATGTGTCTGTACTACGTTGTATTAGACCAGCCTACACAGCCATTTTTGGTATATGACCCATACTTTGACATCCAATATTTTAGACCAAACATAAGAATCCTATATAATAAAAGGCTAATATGCAAAGTGTCCCCTCAAACCGGGAGTTCAACTGGGAGTGTGACCAGGGGGTGGGGCTAGCAGCCAACTGCCTGCGGACCCAACCCCCCGGCTGGCCCCACCCCTGATAGGCCCATCTCACTCTGATTGGGGCGGGCCAGCCGGCCAACCCCCGAGCCAGCCGGGCCTGATAGGCCCCAATTAGGGCTGCCTGGCTGGACCCTACCTATGCATGAATTCATGCAACAGGCCTCTAGTAAGAATATAAAGAATGGAGGCCTCTTTAAAAATTAAAACGTACTTTTAAAGCAATTCTTAAGGGTTCTTAATAAAGCACCATGGAGAGCTTATCTTATCTAACAAAAGCCCAGTGATCAAATGGCAGAATGACCAGAACGACCACTACAACCAGTAAGTATGATGCGCACTGACCACCAAGGGGCAGACCCTCAATGCAGGAGCTGCCCCCTGGTGGTCAGTGTGCTACCACAGTGGGAGTGCTGCTCAGTTGACCAGGATGAGCAGCTGCTCCCATTGCGAACCCCGGGCGAACAGGCAGGAACCTCCTCGCCCCAAGCTCCTCTTCTTCCTCACTCCCTGCCACCTCCTCTGGATGCCTACAGGCTACACAGCACTGCCGCGGGCTCAGAGTTGACCCCGAAGGCTGGGAGGCGGGTTTGTGGCTGCTGCCGGACTGAGGCCTACTCCGCTGCCTCTCAGTGCTATTATCCCTGAGCCCGGCCCCAACCGGGTCCCCTGGAGAGGTGAGTGCTCCGACTCAATTGAAGATGCTGGACCAGGGAGCAGCTGCTCAGAGGGCAGGTCCACAGCTGCTTGGCTGACCGGGATGAGCTGCGCTCCCACAGTGGACCGAACCCCACAGGCCATGCCCCCCACCAATGCATGAATCCCATGCACCGGGCCTCTAGTCACAAGATAAAAGGCATAGATTTGGAAATCAGCATCCTATGGACTATATTAGACTCCATAAGTAGGCTTTTACTCAGAGTTACTACAAGTTAAAATTCTTAATTGCCAACATTTAAAAATCAGAAAACTTTGCATTAAAAACCAAATTTCCAGATTCTCTTGAAAAATCTGAAAATGTAGAAAAGGAAAAACCTATATTATATGTCTTATAGGCAAATTATTTAAATGGTGCAACTCATTCACTTGCCTGGCCTTGATAGCATTTGAGTTCATGACACCTTTTGGGGTGACCTGAAACTTAGTCCTACAAATCCAGACTGAAAATTACTTTCTGGGTTTAAGACAAAATTGATAACATTTATACTGGTTTACTTCTTTTGTACAAAAGAGAAATACTCACACTTTGGCCACTTTACTAATAGAAATGTGTTACTAAATGATTGGAACTATAATTTTCCTGATTTTACATATGAGTCAACTGAGGCCTCAGAGATGGTAAGTCACTTAACCAAAGTCAAACAAATGGAAGTAAAAAGGAGGGTTTGGACATAACACTAAAGCTCATTCACTAAACTACTGGACCAAGATGGAGTTTTATAATAGACATTGCACAGATAGAAGTGAAGCAAGCAAGCTGGTGAACTTTTAGAGTGAAAAAGGGTAAGGACCCCAACTGTTCAATAGAAGCAACCTTTACTGAACGGAGTGGGAAAATAAGAGGGATAGAAAATGAAGTCATATGTAACTTAGAGCGTCACAGAGAACTTTCCATCCAGCCTTTGGATCTAAGTATACACCACATCAAAACTGTTGTATAATCCACAACAACCAAATAATTGTCCCAGATCATCTTCTGTTTACTCTCAGGTTACTGATCATCCTCTAATCTTCTTGGCTCCTGGATTATAGAGTCATGCTAATTGACAAACTTGACTCTGAGTTCTGTCTTCATTTTTCCTTAATAGACCAACTTCATTATCTTCTGATTTCATTGTCTTCCTCGACACTAAGAAAGAGGCTCTTTTTGCCTAGGCCTCATGCGTTGAGAAGGTCTCAATCACATCCCTTCCAGAGATTGCCTCAAAAAGTCCTACCATAATTAGTTCTCTCATTTAACAAGTCTTTTCCAGGTACCACACAATATGTTAAGTGCTTGAAGTACTTATTATTTTATCCTCAGAAGACCCCCAGTAATGGAAATGTAATTATTTCCACTTAATGAATGAGGAAACTGAGGCACAAATGGATTCAATAACTTGCTAAAAGCCACACAGTTTTTTAGGAGAAGAGCCTGAATTCAAACCTAGTTTTTCAGAATTCCAGCACCCATAATGTTACCAATACGTATATTTACTTTGCCATATCATGATGACAAGGGTTCCAAATGAAAAGCTAGCTAAAGACTGTTGGTCAGAAAAGCAAAGTTTTGGGGATTTTCAATCAACTGTATTTGATCTATATTTCCAATAACAATGGATAGACATCCTTCTCTCTCTGACATTGAATTACGAACTATTCTCTCTTTCTACTGAGGCCATAATAAAACTCAACTGGTAAGTATTTTTCCAGAGGCATTCTAATTGATTAATTCTGAAGACCTAATTTAACAGCAGATCAATTAGAGAATGTTAAAGCATGTTTGAGGAATATAACCCTCCTGCCAAATTTTGCTCAACAGATTTAAACCCACTGACACATTCAGAGTATTCTGGTAGCTTTCCAACATTTCTGTAGAGCCAGGATCATCACATGAGGGTAGTGTCTTAGCATGCGTTACTTGTAGGTTTTGTTTTAGACTCAGCATAAAGGTTTGTGTGCACATTTGAAGTGTTCCCATTCATCTGGCAGTGGATTCTGGTGCTTTGTTTATGTTTGGGAGTAATTTGGTTAGTTTAGTTCCTTCACAGCCTCCTTTCAAGTGATATTTGTTTATCAGCCACAAATGCAGTCACATTAATCCATTTTGATAAGCTAAATACACCCCTGCAGTTTGTCCATGATGGAGCCCATATGTAAATGAGTT